GGGTGCAGTGCCCCAATCCCCAAATCCGCCCTGCTCTGTGTATGACAGGGGGCAGTGCCCCAACTCCCCTATTGGCCCTACTTTGTGAGTGACAGGGGGGAGCTCCTCAACCCCCTGATAGGCCCTCCTCTGTGCATGACGGGGTGGCGCCGCAACCTCCCCATCAACCCTGCCTTGAGTGTGACAGTGGGCGGTGCCCCAACCCCCCAATTGACCCTACCCTGAGCGTGACTGAGGTGGCATCGCAACCTTCTGATCCGCCCTGCTCTGTGTATGACGGGGCGGCGCCCCAACTCCCCAATCGGCCCTACCCTGAGCCCGATCAGGGGCTGCACCTAGGGACTGGGCCTGCCCTCTACCACCCGGGAGCAGGCCTAAGCCAGCAGGTCGTTATCTCCCGAGGGGTCCCAGACTACGAGAAGGCACAGGCCGGGCTGAGGGACCCCCCTTCCCCCCGAGTGCACAAATTTTTGTGCACCAGGCCTCTAGTATATAAATAATAAACCAAGTATTAGAAGGATAATAGTCAAACTTCTCAGTTATGAAATGTTAAAAAAACAACTTGACTCTTTGTCCCCTTTAAGTCTAACTTGGGCTCATCAAATGCCATATAAGATTCCAGACAGATACCTGAAGTTGATCTGCTTGATACTTCCTTCCAGAGTAAGCATTTAGGTATTCGCAGAGACTGAACAGGAAGTGCTGAATATTACTCTGTAGGTATTTTGCAGCTATCTCCTCTAGGGGAATGAAGACTGGAATCGAATGGTGATGTATCCGAAGTGGTTTCTGTATGACAAGATCCACAAAATAGGAATCCAGCAGGTTCCCCTCAAAAGCAGTGCTGATGGAAACACAGACTCCTCGGCTGGTCAGTTTCCCACTGAGCCCTGAGGCAAACAAGACAACACACCAACAGATGTCACGCAAAGTTAGTACCTTACTCATCTGTTCATACCAGTTGCTCCAGCACCACCTAGCACCACGCGTATAGTGTGTACTCAAGTGTTTGTTGAATGAATGACTATCATAGCCTCTTTCCCCTCATTAACTCTCACTTTGAATTAAAACCATGGGATGGTGGGAAAAAGGAAAATCCTAAATAGCAATTATTGAGGAAGAGATTTTGAAAATTTCAATTTACCTATTCTCTTTTATTCTGAGTGTTAAATAATTTATGGTAGTACCCAGTTCTCCCCACACTCCTCTTGTGACATAGATAATGAGACTAAATCCCCATATTAATGGTGAAACAGACTTGAGGGGCTCAAACTATTTGACCAGTGGCATAAAGCAAGCCAGAAGTAAAGAAAGTTCT